TTTTTAGTAGCCCGGTTTTCAAAAAACCAGGTATATATACATATATTAGTATGGATAGGTTTGGGCCGACAGGGTTGGTACAGGTGCAAGCTTAAGTCTGCATCCCAAGGAAAAAGAGAACGTTTGCATCCAGGCCAGGCAAAGTGTGCGACTTTTTTGGCTCTTTCTTTTACAAGTGAATTTACTCCTGATGATGGCAACTTTTTCCACTGGAATGACAAATTTGTGTATCTGCCACTTTGAGGATGCGCGGGAGACCGGGTCTTGATGATTGTTAAAGTGCATTGTGGGACTGTTTAGGGGGACGAATTTGCCGCTATGTTGAAAACGCATCCCCCAGGACAGCCCACAATGCCCTGGTCTCCCACGCGACCTCAAAGTGGCTAATTGGTATCCCATGTTCGACCAACATAAGGTAACATTTTCAACGAAACTGAAAGACCGCAGATTTTGTCGTTAAAGTGACTGAAACTTAACTTATCTCTAAAGCCATAATAGTATGGCTCTTGGTTATCTTCATTATCAGTTAATGGCGAAAAAATAAGGAGCCCAGCACCTGTGCTCAGTCACGTTTGGCACGGGTGACTCTTGACTACTTAGGATGGGTTGAATAGTCGTCAAAGAATACTCCAAATCGTGTTGGGATCTATATACCAGTTTAGCCTGTTCCAGGCGTTCTGATAGTGCGGAGCGGTGCGAAGTAAAAAGAAGCACGAAAAAATAAAAACGAGGGAGGGGGAGAAGTATCGCTTCCTTTACTTCGCACCGCTTCCCACCATCTGAACGCCTGGAACAGGCCATATACCAGTTATGCAATGCTTTCTTGTGGTATATAATGGATGCCACTTGTCACTTGAATTTTATCTGTAAATACACGAGCTTTTTTCCAGGCGGAGCATTCCAAGTTCTACCTCGAGAAAGATTTTCATAAGTATTTTGTTCCATGCCAAGGAAAACACAGTAACCACTGAACACAATTAATCGGTCGTAAAAGAGTTGGCTCCAACGAATTTCAAACGAGAATACGAGCAGTGCCTTTTTCCTCACAACGAAATGCTTTATAAATGAAATTGACAAACTTGTGAATGCATCCGACCCCATGTTCACTGTTCTTAGATCTCTATCGGATCTCAACGAAAACACCGATCAACTTCGGTCAGAAGTCCTCAAAGTTAAAGCCAAGGTAAAACATTGGCTCTGGTATGTCTCAAACAATATTTAAAAGACACACCGGAAATGGTACTGCTTACTCAGTAAATTTCGGCAGGATTGAACCATGATCGGCAGCGATAACCGGTTGGGTTAATCATTGTACTAGGCTCGATTTCTGCCGTATCCAGGGTCCGCCGCGGGCTCATTTTCTCGAACAGCGGCTGGTAATCGAGCCTATCATTGTACCGGCTAGTCTACAACGGCTTTTCTGGTGATTGGCTGTCTTTTCCATGGAAAAGGAGTACATTTCCCATTCCTGAAGATGATCTTAATAAGCGATAAAAGGATATTGTTAAAAGAGAAATGCATTTACTACCTTAGTTATTAGTACTTTATTTCGCGGGGTTTTATTTTTGCGATTTGGCGAGCAAATATGAAGAGAGGGCATTGAATTTCGCGATTTATAAAGCGATGAAAAAGTCTCAACCTTTAAAAATTTTTGGATGAACTGGAACAAGCAAAATGTGAAATCTTTGCAAACTAATGTTATTTAAAAATTTAAGACACAAAAGTGAGTAGCAGTTTGTGTTTGTCCATACATATCCTGTATATTTTGTTCCTTTAATTACATGTTAATTGTGATTTAAATTTTTTCAGTTTATATGGGTCTTAAATTTCGCGAAATTTAAGGCCCGCTAAATTAAGTACCAAAAAGGTAAATACAGCAAGACAAAAATCATTTGTGTATACTGTTATTTCCTCGTTGACTAACGGAAATTGTCTTTTTTTCTTGTTATTCTAGGTCATTGTTGCTGTTCTCCCTCAGAGCCATATGTTGTACTTTGATGTTAAAAAAAAGGTTTGGAAGCAGCTTTCATCTTTAGCACCAGCACCTGAAACAAAAAATTGCTACTGTGCAGAGATTGTTGGTCGTGAGTTGTTCGTTTCTGGAAAATTCCCGGATGGGAGATCCCGTGTTTACTGTTATGACATAGAAACAAATAAGTGGCACACTCACGAGGATACTCATCCATACGCAGAAATCAGCACCCTATGCGCTGTAAGCGACTACATGTATGCACTACCTTGGGATTGCAGCAAGCTACCGCAAAGGTATAGTTTTGCAAAACACCGGTGGCGAAGTTTCTCTAAAAGTTTCGTAAAGAGTCCTCCCTACTACCCTTATTTTAACAGTGCCACGATACATCACCAAAAGCTGTATGCACTCTATGGGCATAGACAGGAGAACGGACCCCTTTGGCAGATGCAAAATGCAACGCTTCATTGTTTTGATCCAGTGAGCGATATGTGGCAAGAAAAATCTTCAACCTGCGACCCTCACTTTGGG